TGGAAGAGCAGACCTGCGGGAGATCGGCATCAGTGACCCGCAGCACCGCCGCAAGCTGCTCCATGCCGCGCGGGCCCTGCCCAAGGTGCCACCCACAGCCCCGCAGCCCGGGCCCTGCCAGAGCCAGGCCTCTCCCCGCACCTCCTGGCTCGGGGCATGCGGACCACGCGGGGTGCTTCCTCATCCCAGGGTCCCCGAGGGCAACAGAGTCCACTCACTTTGCCAACTGCTGAGGCCCCCAGAGCCAGCAGAGCACGAGGGACTGGACCTGCTCCGGCCTCAGGAGGGCTGCAGGCATCTGCCCTTGCGGCCTGGTGCCCACAGGCCTGGCCCCAGAGCCCCTGGGGGTCTCCCCTGAATCACTTGAGACCGGGCCGGCCTGCGCTGACCCCTGGTGGAGTCGGGCTGGAGGTGACCTCCTCACTGACTGAGTCCAGTGCCCATCCCTGCCACATGCCCCGAGCGCAGGAAGCACAAACAAGTCCCAACGGCGAGGCCAGCGCCCCTTTCTTGTCCCATCAGGCCCGTGACCCCATCCGACGGGCCTTCTGCACAGCCTCCCCCACCAGCCTCACCTAACAGGGCCACCTCCCCAGGCCCAGTCTTGGGCTGCTGGTGGTCACCAGACGGGGGGCCGGAGACCAGGCCCCTCCGTGGCCTCAGAAGCTGCCCCAAACCTACCCGGCCGTGGTCTCTGCTGCGGCTGCGTGCGCTGGCCTGGGTCTCCGCCCGGGGACCGTGCCCGGTGAGGACCAAGGTGTCAGCTCCGCCCTCTTGCCCCACAGGTGAAGGCCCTGGGCTGCGAGGGGAGCAGCCCCCCGTCGGTGCCCTCCTGGCTGGACTCCCTGGGGCTGCAGGACTACGTCCACTCCTTCCTGTCCAGTGGCTACAGCTCCATCGACTCCGTGAGGAACCTCTGGGAGCTGGAGCTGGTGAACGTGAGTGCAGCCGCCTGGGCGTGGGCTGCCCGCTGCCCTGGGCTGCTGCCGGCCTGGTGGGGGCGCCATGGGCTGGGCAGCACC